AGAGAGATTGAAGTCACTGGGGTTATATTCCAATTACTACCGGCGCATCAGAGATAGGATTACGGTATACCAAATAATGCGAAACCCAAGCCATCCGTGTCGCCCGCTTCTGAAATTATCACCCAACGTTCATCTTAGAGGACATCCCTTTAAACTAGTGGTTTCAAAATGCCGCTTGGAATGCCAGCGTCAGTCATTCGCAGTCAGTGTGTTCGACCTGGAACTCTCTACCATCCTACGTCGTCTGTGCTCCAAGCATTGAGTCTTTCAAACTGAGGCTCGATGAAACATTAGCACACCTTACATTCCAACATAAATGAAGCTGCGTGAAGCAGTGGAAAAAGACATTTTACACAAAGAATTGTATGTATCACTGTTTCTTACTCCAACGCATGAACCTATGGGACCAGAAAAGCATGAGCTTGTAATTTAATCCCATAATAAATCTTTGAATCTTTGTGTATATTTAAAGGAATGTGCATTGTTACATATTAGATAAATAAAAATTTAGTTCCATTTTGAACTCAAGAAAAAACCACAAATAGTAGTTAGAAATAACACGCAAACTAAGCTAATCTCCATTCAGGATGAACATAATGCGTGAGCCTCGACACACGCGTGCAGAATAGAGAATATGCAAACCCGAATAGTTTTTATCACACTATGTGATAAAATTACAGACGAGATAAACGCCATAATTACGAGGACTTGTCGTAGACTTGCGGAACCCGGTAACGTAAGCCCCGGGATACCGGGGTGGTGAATATCGTAATGCCCCATCCACAAAATCAGGCGTAGTGTTAAGGTGGACATTAACGAAGCTTTTTCCAAAGTCGTTCATAAAAAATCTTTGTTTTGTAGCACCAGCTCATTAAATGTATTAAGCGACCACTACTCCGCGGCCCATAAAAACCTTAAAGTGATCGCTAGTTTTTTTTTTATTTGCTGCTGTAAACCTCGAAGGAAAAAGAGATGAAAAGCTAATTAGTAATTATCCAGGGTTATAACTGGGTCGGTGAACCACTGGCAGTTCACCTGAGGGAGTTGGCTCAAATCAAATCAACCAAGAAGAGGTGCTTGACCCAAACATCTTGCAAGATTTGTCGCTGATCGCAGACTTGATTGGGACGGTTGACTCGGTCTGCAGGGTGTATGATTCGATATGCTGGACATCAACTGCCGATGAATGGTGCTTTTACAACACCAACCAGGGACTTTGTATAGCCAAAAATGTCGGTGTTGGATTCCCTACCTGGCAGTATTCTGTCAATGAACGAATTCCTTTGTTATAAAGACTAGTGTGCCATGATTAGTTCAGTGTGCAGCCTACACTCAGACCCATGTGCAATAAAAATAAACATAATAATAAAAGAGCATATCAGACGACTAAACCGGAATTCGAACCGTGGACATCTGGCGGGTACGGCACTGAACCAATCAGCAATGCATACTTGCTCAGATACTGCCTCCAATAATAGTCAATCCTTAAAGTATATTTTTTATACTTGCTCATTAATCATTATCACCATCTGCTAAATGCCAGTCGTAAGCGCATCATATGTCCATACTATTGCCATTGAAATAAATCTAGGCAATGTATCGTTAGCTTTGCAGAGAGATTAGAAAACAACTGTACAGACGCTAGATTGGTATCGGCTTTCCTCGAGCCAAGTTTGAAGCTTACATATTTTGGGAATTTAAATTCACTTTCGGAGGAACAGTAAAAACTCGCTTTGCATTTCTGTGAACCAATGAACCAATAACTGACCGTGAAAAAAGAACACATTTCCCATACTATACTTCTGGTTTCTCCAAACAGACGGTGACCGATCAGACCGTGGTTCGGAAGAAGCAGACGGATATCCCAAAACTAGCCACAGACCACTTTGATGCATAGATTGAAGTTGGCCGTCACGCAAATCATGCTGGGATGGATCATCGGACAGGGTGATCGTTGCACGACTTTTCCAGCATGCGTCCCAGATGCTGGTGATCTGTACAGAAAACGATAGGGTAAAACGGTGCACTCTTGCTTCGAATTCTTTGAATCACGTGAATCTAATAAACCTCTTTGTAAACTGATGATTAGTGTCATCAACAGGGCAAACAAAGCATAGCTATTTACAAACGGAAGTTGTGAAACAACCAATACCTGGACGGGCATGCGCATGCTTTGAGTGAATCCCTAGTGAACTATCGGAAACAAATGAAATTTCTGTTGAAGGTGGGCGTGGAATCCCGGAATGATGTAAAAACAGGAAACACAAAAGCAATACGAAACTCTGCTGAGCAAATGCGCAGAAGTCCCTACGTTCGGCGAAGTTCTAAGCCCTGATTCTGGCAAAATAAATCAATATAGGATTTGCACAAAAACTGTTCGATAACTGAAATATAGTCAATACACAGGGGATAAAGTGAATTCTCAACAAAGAAGATCTCCAAAACAACAGATTACACAGACTCGGGGTGTGCGGATTCACATGAAATGGGGTAGAACATAGTCCATTCACAATTCGACGTTTTGGGAGACAGTGTCAAAAAAACAATTATCATTAGTAACTGGATTAGATCGGAATCCAACAGTTTGCTTGATAGCAAGTATATTCACCTAAAAATCCTACTTGATGATAGGCGTTTCTTCATTACCAAATGACATCGAACAGAACATCTGTGCATCAAAGGCGGACCCGGTTTGGTCAAGAAGAGATTGGTATTTGACACATTGTAAAAAAGGTGATTTGATTGGTGTATGCGACTTGCAAAACCACCAAATGAGTATTTTGTTACGTTTTAGTGACAAACTGATCGCTTTTTCTGAACATGTTTAGTCAGATACTAAGGTTTTGCATTTCGATAACCTCTATTTGTTTAAATTCAAAAAGAAGTTAATCAATCTGAGCACTAAGGACTAAAGTGCATAAATCGGATTCCAAAGGGAAAACAAAGGACAGTCCTGTACAATTTATAAATAAGCACTATAAACTGAGATCAGTGTATAGGGTGTATCAAAAAAGGGGAAAATCAATCAATTGAAAGATAGTGTATTTTAACTCGAAACTCACAAGTGCAAGTGAGCATGGATCAATTGCTATTATCAATGTACTTGATCGACTGAATGCTCTAATCGCAGACAGAAACAAGTGCTGCGATAATTGCCTCACCAAAAAAGACACTTTTGAGTGTTGGAACAAAACGTTTGCGACCTGTGCAGACCACGAACCCACACACCGATTGTTCTCTATTGCTTTTGACCACGTTTAGACCCGGGGAAGCAGGAATGAAAAAAACTATGAATCGAACGGATGGCTGGTCCTTGGAAAAAGTCCAGTTGCACTTTTTGATTTGGCATTACTTTTTAACAAACATTAGGAGGACAAAACAGTAAATACTCATCAAAAGGACCCATGATTTGGTGATGGGAACCAGTAACCGAAATTCCAGAAACTGGCGTAGTAAACCATATATTGTACCCGTAGGACAAGCAAATGTAAGCTCATTTGGTCGTCGTGACCAGTTTGGTAACCTAAATCGAGAGGACTGATAAGCGTCAGTGCCAGTGGAACAAATTGAAGTGGTTCAGTTCACTTCAATTTTTACAACCATTACCATGCACTTCAGTGCGCCGGTTTTAGTTGCTGTCTTTTAGTGCCCCATTTGGATAAAAGAGCAGAAAGAAGATTGGAATGTTGAAAGCAAATTCAAGCTGAGGATGGAGAATTCATATAGAATGGTGTTAAGGGAATAATAATGAGTGGATGCACAAGCGCCACTGTTTGCGACACCCAACCATATCACTGTGTATCTAACCATCGGTGACCATCATCCCGAGGTCCCCAGCCAGGGAGTCTGAAAAGGCCCATGTGACTCAGTCCGCAGATCAGGGTTTTCATAACCTCATGCCAGGTCTTTGTTTGACCACCATTGACCTTTTTCAAAACGCCACCTGCTTCGGCAAACATCGCTCGCCGTGGTAACCTATCTGGTGACATGCATAACACATGCCCCAACCAACGTAATCTATGGGGGTCGATCACTTGCCCAATGGATGACCGCGCCTGCTTAAAACTCTACGCCTAACCTCAGCATTCATAGTCCGGTTACCCCACCAGACTCGTGCAAGGCGACGTAGACAGCGGTGTTCAAACACCGATAATCTATTTTTATCCTGTTCTCGTAGTGGCAAAGTCTCTGCATCGTAGAGCAGTACTGGCCAAACTGCTGCAGCATATACTCGACCCTTCAAAGACAGCCGGATGTCACGACGGCGCCGCAGATGTCTCAAGTTGGCAAATGCCCACCGAGCATTTTGTATACGCGCCGACACTTTATCTGTGATGCGTTCGCCAGGTGAGATATAGCTGCCCAGATAAAAAAATTTGTCTACCTCATACTATTTCCACAGTCAATTGTGTGTTGGACCAACGTAATCTTGTAGTAACATTTTACACTTTGAACGTACAAAACGCATGAACACGCTAGCACTTAAACTAACCAGAAAAGCTTGCAACTTACATGGATCTTCACTTAGTAGCACAATGTCATCCGCATACTCTAGATCAGACAGTCTGCCACCCGGGAGTAAATCGATGCCACTATCCTCGCACGCGGATAGGGCTGTTTCCAAAATCAGATCTATAAAAAAGTTAAATAGGAATGGAGAGAGAGAGAGAGCAACCCTGTCGAACATCACTTTCCGTGGTGAACTCGGGTGAAAACGTGCCGTAAGCTCGGACTCGGTTTCGGCTATGAGTATAGAGGGATCGCAATATTGGAATAAACTTCTCGGGCACACTTTTCAGGGAAAGACAGCACCAGAGTTTAGAGCGGTCGACAGAGTCGAAGGTCGGTTTAAGATCCAGGAAAGTAGAGATGGTGGGTCTATGAAAAGAATGTCGGAGCTCCAGAGTTTGGCGAACAGTGAAGATGTGGTCGATACAACCTCGACCAGTACTAAAGCCAGCTTGGTTTTCACGCGTGCACTCTTCACGTGCAGAAGACAATCGACGGAGTATGATACCAGCGAGAAGTTTAGAAGCAATGCTGATTAAGCTAATTCCTGTGTGGTTTTCACAAGAGGATCTGTCACTTTTCTTGTAAATCGGTATGATGACCGATTCACACCATCCAACCGGAACCTGTTCCCTCTCCCACACTGAGCTTAGGAGTTTCGTTAACTCCGAAACCAATGCTAAACCTCCATCCTTAAAAACGGATGGAGAGAGCCCGTCTGGGCCTGAGGCCTTATGCCTTTTGAGATAGCTTATTTACCGGGAAACCTCCATTTCAGATGGAGGACTGACATCGACTGGCAGAATTTGCGCAGTCGCGGCGGAGAGTGACAGTTCAGATATAGATGAGAGCCAGTTGAACTGAGTCTTGAAATATTCAGCCCATCGATCAAGACGGCGTTGCTGATCGTGAATCAGTATGCCGTCAGACTCCTTAATTACCTCAATTACGCCTACCTTCCTTGGTCCTTTACTCCTAATTAATCGGAAGAGATTGCGACTATTACCCATATTCGCAGCCTTCTCCATCTCGCTACGCTTTCCTATCCACCACTTCTCGCGGTCATTCCTCAGATTCTTATTGAGCTGGCGTCTAAGGGATTTGCGCGCTTTGTCGTATTTGAATCAGAAGGAATGGCTTTGCGAGCGTCCAGCAAGGCAACCGAGGTCGGGGAGATCCATCGTTTTTATTTGATCGTGCGCCAGAACGTTCCGTTGCTTTGATCGACGTTTGGATCGCTTCCTTGATTGTCGTCTAGTGTTCACTGAGTTCTCTGGTTGATGGTTGAGCTATAAGACGATCTGATAGTTCCACTTCGAAGACCGATTTGCAACCGTCGCTGATACTGTATTGTGGGTATCCGTTTTCAGTGGCTTTCCTGCGGTTGTTTACCAGGGATAGGGAGAATCGCACTAGCAGCTGGCTTTGTGAGAGTGAGCTTCGTCTGGCCTCTACTCGTTGACCTTTCAGGCATGATTGGATCTACGGCCATGAAAAGCCATCCTGAGTAGCTCGCAGTGTCATGGAGGCACGCAAGCCATCACACCACGTCAAGGTGCAGTCTCGTCGTGATGGACCGTTATTGGATGACTTATACCGATGCGCTGGAGAAGAATAGACACTGAAACCAGGCTATCAGAAACAGGATTGGGTGAAGGTAGACATTATTTCGATTAACTGAAAACATACAGTTCACATCAGCGTTTCTCCTTCTTTTGTTATCCGGAAAGCAAGAGAATTGTCTCTAAGAAAAAAATCAAACGATGGCACCAGAACTGGAAATAGTTTCCATGTTGTTCGTAGAATTTGACGAACAAAACATAGCTAAAAATGGATTCACAGCTCAGTTTTATTTAATTCACCACACAGTATTTTTTTCGTACGTTGCAATAAAACCGAGTGTATTCATAGGCACACAACAGTATACCTCCTGTGGACACCCAAACAGACGCATATTGTCCTATGCATCATTACGCTCAGCATATTTTAGTGCTCCTATCTATTAGTTTATTTGAGCAGCTGGGCCCCTGGGTAAAACAAGAACTAGCCCAATTTTTGATCATACGCTACACGTTCTTACCCTGTTCTTCCATGTGTGATAGGTCGTAATTGGGGACAGTGATAAGGCACTGGAACTCTACCATGCAGTCCTGGTGGCCCCCATTTGACGAGTATGGACGAAAATGGATTTAGCAGGTTTTCAGTCTCCCTGCTCCACGATAGCTGTTAAACACATCCTAGGGCGATTAGATGTTCCACCATTCGCATTCCTCCTTTCGGCATGCTAGTTGTCCCTGGGGGGATGTTTTAAGTATTTGGATAGCCTCGTGAGTGATTCTCCTCGATATCCTTCGATCTAACAATATCTTGGTCTGGTATATTGCAAAGGCTGTATATTTTTGGAAGTGTTAGAACAAGTACGATATGATTACAAAGTGTTCATTTAAAAACTCCACAGTTGTGTTCCGTTTTTTTAATAACACACCTTAGTGTGATGAACAACAGACCGGGAAAGCCCCATAGTCAGGACGACCTGCTGTTTACTGATGGAAACCGGTAACCAAAGTTCCGGGACTTGGAGCGGCGAACCACATAAAGACCCGTTAGGTTAGGTGTGGTATTGAACCGGACGACACCAAAGCTGAATACCACCAAAGTTGGGTGGTGATGGCGGGGCTCGAAAGTCGGATCACAGAACGACAGCGACAGCGACTAAACCACTGAGCCACCACCACCACCACTTAGGGTTCATTCAGAAGGGGTGTTTTGTGCTTGCAATGTAGCAAATATTCGTTTTAAACACGTCCATTTAGTCTTCGATCTTAGACCAGTAAGCTTCTGCGTTTCTCGTTGGCTTTGTGTACCATTGGCAAGATTCCATTTGAGGTTAAGTATGAAGTAGCAAGAAACCAATATCGTCAAGTGAACTTATAGTTCCAAAATGTGCGAAAACGAGCACGAAATTTAACGTCCCACAATAAATCTCATAGTTCGCATTGATCTGTTTCACATACAGATATGGTAACATGCAATATTGTCCATGTGCTGAGTTCTATTGTTGCAGTCATTGTGCAAAACTCTACACCGCCCCTGCTAGTTTGAACTTGATCTAAGAATACAATGATCACTGGTCTTTGGTAGGCATGACGGTGCTCTAGCAGCTGTTGGAGGGTGAAGATTTGATCGATGCATCCATGATCGGCGCGAAACCCAGCCTGCTCTTCGCGGGTCTGCTCTTCACGCATGGTGTACAATCGGCGGAGAATGACGGACGCCAACAGGCTTTGACGCTAGTGGGATAAGGCTTATATCCTTATGATTGGCGCAGTCACTGCGCGGGCTCTTTTTGAAGATGGGGACGACAATCGATTCCCCCCACGAGAAGGGGACCTGCTCGGTGTTCCAAACTTTAGAGAACAGAACTTGTAGTTCTCTAACAAGCGTAATTCTACCATCTTTAAATAGAGCAGGAGAAAGGCTATCGGAGCCCGACGCTTTGTGGCGTCCCAAGACTTGAATATCCTTACGGATTTCCACCTCAGAAGGTGGGTCTGTTGAGACAGATGATGGGACGTGTGCCGAAACAAAAACTTCCTTGAAAATATCAACAAGAATTAGTTTGCAAAGCCCAAATGAGTGGAATTAAGGTAGTTTTCAAAGGAATGCAAAGCGAAACTTTGAATGGCAGTGAACAATTTTAATTTGCTCACACTAAAAGCATTCTCGTACACAATGAATGGAGAAATGGAAAAAATTAACTCCATAACAGAAATTCAAATGAAACGAACTAAGAGAAGACCAACTATTATTGATCCGCCCACCCAAGTCACCATAGCAAAAGGCTGCTAGTAGTTACTCTGTTTTCACGATTTGTATGGAAATGCCGACGTAAAGTGGTTGTAAATTAAATAGTGGAGATTCAACCCTTGAAGAAGAAGATAATCGTAACTTAAGGTGCAAAAAACAAATGATTGATGCGCACTATTCTCCACAATGTCGGTACAGTCGCAGCTTACTTCAATCCTGTTCGGGCTAGACCAACTGACCCGAAGCAGAGCATGACGCCATTGCCTAGTGGAGAAACAGCGTGGATCCAGAGCTAGCCAACCACCACCTGAGTAGCGAACGGCACAACTGGGTGATCTGGGCGAATGTACAACGTGTTTGTGACTGGCGTGAACATACAGTGAACCGAACGACTGAGAGAAAGATACCTGTGTGAATACGGTGGCGGCGGGGGGGAGTAGGTGGCAGATGTATGATGGGGTTGTACAAAATATTCTCATTGAAACAACTTTATGCAATTGCCACTCACATGGAAGACCACATGAAAATATCTGATCACAGTACAAGGTAAAATGGCCCTGGCATGACAACTCAGTATCCTTCTAATTATTCTCACTTCTTAGTGTTTGTCTTGATGGGTGCACCATCGGAAGCCAGATAAGTTAACATATACACGCCGCTCATGTTAATCTGTTGATTTCTATCGGATTTTCAGTTAGATTTCTGTGTCGACGTTATGATCTACGACGGACTGTCGCGATACGTGAACGTGTTCTGGTCTAATTTCCCATATTAACGTATGCTGGACTAGGTTAAATCCGTTGTGGTACAGAGAACGCCTTTTCCAGAAACTTGTGTTTGTTTAGTGGACGGAATACCAACGGAGTTCAAATGCGGAACAGTTTGACAGATCGATAACACGAGCTATGAAGCGATCAACGATAGAGAATGCCGATATGCCTATAATGTGGTTATTCTGATGAATTGTCTCATGTCCTTGCAACTGTTTAGGAGAATTATACAATTCTCATTCAACGGGAAACAACTAATACTGTGACTCTATATATACGATGACTATTTGGGAACATGACAATTCGTGAGCTCAATGTAACACAAACCATAACTGATTGATCCTGGTAATCTATAGAATACCTGTGTGACTTAAGACCTAGGACGGTAGGTAGTTTCGATAAAAAAAATGGAGGCAAGTATAGAACAGACGGTTAAGAATTGGAGACATTATATTAGAGTAAACGAAAAACAAACAGTGCGTTCAAAGTCGTGGGGCCCAAACTTATAGTAAGTGATCCAGTATCACAAAAATCCATAAAAAAACGATGTAAATTTGTGAGAAAAACATAGAACATGAAAACAGCACGCCATTCTCACGACCTGTCAGCTGAGACCCACAACGAATGCATGGTTCTGTAAAGACAAGTTTGATGTGGTATTTGAACATACAGTGAAATTAAAAAATTGCTGAAATTGTTAGAGCACAAAATGAACTGCGACACACGTGATCGCATTGAACAGATACACTCACTCGAAAAGACCAGGTTGTCATGGTTGACGAAGCAGATCGGAAATCCGGTGTAGACAACCACGGAGGTTGACCGGATCCTTCGAAACCGAACCAATGAAGAAGTACACTGGCCGGATTCGATTCGTTAGACTGAAACATTCAAGGGAAGAAACAGTTTGAATATGGACTAATAAAAATAGTAAAGGAAAACCAAAAGTGACATGTGTGAACAATGAACTTCAAAATCGAACGGATACAATTTGGAACTTTGACACATCTGCCAGGTTAACAATTTCCGTAGGCCAACAATTGGATTCAGATTTTGAGTGAAAGTGGACCAGATGAAAATGTGCACCTACGAAAAAGTAATTGTGTTCTTTTTTTTTGAAGTGTGTATGACGGGATTGTTGTGTTGAAAAGATGGTATTCAACCTATTTTCGAAAGGCAAAATAAAACGTTCACTTGAGCATCTACCGGCCGTCGCATTTGGACAATGATCCAGGATTATCAACTGACGGAAGCCAGCTAAGGGAAACGTAGTACAGACTATAATCGATATTTGGTATTTGTTTCACCTTCATAACGCACCAGGAGAAACTCCACAGATTGGTGTCAGTGAGAAAGTAATTCAAGTCAGGACGATTCCGAACTACACATATGCCAAGAGCAAAAATTTTTCCAATGCCTGAGATTTTAATTCGAAATGGCTTGTTCGGTTACCGCATCAACTGATTGCAATTCCTCGCACAATATAAACATCCCTTGCAAGAACCATTCAACTATTTAAAAAGACACGATACCCCAGGGAATGTCAAAAACACACTCATTTTTAGTGCCAGAATGATATGAAATGAGCGAAAAGGAACGAACCAGTACCTGACCGAGATCTACCGGAGGTAACTGAATCCAAGTGGAAATAAGCAAGCCGGGTTGGAT